ATGAGTATTCCGCAGTCGGTAGCGCCCGACTGCAACGTTCTTACTTGTTTATATTCAAATTTGTTTGTTTATGCACAATTTAGATGCATTGCCACGCATTGCCTCTTTGTTAGTTCATTTGTCATTCGGTTATTTGAGTGCGTTCCACTCACATTTAATTTCATCTGCAGAATCCTCTCAGTCTTTGCCATTAACATGCAAGCCGTTAAAATGTGCGTTGGTTTGTTTTTGTATTTTGTTTTTTGTTTTTTTTTTTTCATTTTTTTGGCCAAAGTTAAATTCTTCCCTCTCTTGCTTTTTAGTTCATAAAGTTCTTAATAGGCTGAAGTTGGAGCTCATTATTTTCAAACATTGTAATCCACTTTGTATTAAAAGCTATAAAACTGACTTTGTTGTGCGTCAAGTGCAAAGGGGGGATGCAGGCGAGCGCACATAAAATCAGCCAGGCAAACAGCACTATTCCATATGCCCTTGCGGAGGGATAACAACACTTTCGGTGAAAGCCAAATAAATACTCAGCCAAATTCAGCTCAAGACAATTCAATTAAGCAACACATAAACTTGACACCCCCGGCAAGACTCTGAGCACTGCCAGCGCCAGCGCCGACCCCTAACACATATAGAAATCGACGTCGCACATTAATAAACTTGCACTTTAAATGAACAGCAGCGAACTCGATAAGGCAGGCTGGGGTTGGGGCAGGCTGGGCCTAAGCGAGCGGGCAGGGGCGCGTTACTTGCGGCCAGACAAAGTTAAGCAGCAACAGCAACAGCAACAGCGAACCTCCAAGTTGATTAAGTTGTATGGCTATAACCGGGAAGAGGCTTCAGTCTCAAGTCTAGCGGCTTATTACGAGCCAGCAAGCAAAGTAAATTGCAAAAAAATAACACGAGAAAAAGAAACTGAACCGACTGAAACTGAACCCAGACGCCGACAATTAGATACTCAATATATGTGGATATATATATATATATATATAATTAAAAATTATATAAAAAAGAATTTTTTGAAAATATTTAATGGAAGACTAGATTTCACTTCAAATTTATATTGAATCCAATCGCTTCGAAAATTTTAAATAAATTACTAATAAATTTATTAATCTACAATATATTTTTATTTTAAATAAAAAATCATTGTAATAGAATACAAATTCTGGAAATAAAAGAAGTAAAAGAAAATTCGAATTAACTGAAATGATATCATCTACTCAATATAATATTTATACATTTTAAAAATATTTCTGCACATTTCGGCAGCTGTCAGTATGAAGTACAATGAAGCACTTAGACACTGCTACTAACTTATTACTCACAAAAGAAAATAACTACTCATTATGTAGGATATGATTTAGTTTAATATTATGAAAACAACAAAGGAAAATCCACGCTAACTCAGAAGGCTAAGTTCAAACTCGTGTCTGTTCTCTTTGAAAAATATCTTTACTCTTCATCAAATTTGCTATAGCATTCGCAATCTGACAGTACTATGAAAATTCCTTAACTAAAAGCAATTTATAATCTCCTACAATTCTTAAAATATTTCCTACTTTTTTTTCTACATTTTTTTGTCTTATGCAGTGTCTCTCCTCTTATTTAATCAACTCTCTGTTAGGGTATGCCTAACAAGTAGCCGTCTACACATTTAGCTAAGTATAGACTACGGCCAGACTTGGCCTCTCATCAACGTCTACGGCTCTGTCGCCCGCTGCCCCTTCCCCTGTCGCTGTCTCACTTTTTAAGCCATGTCTGCGTCTTCGTCTTCGTCTTCGTCATGTCTGCATGGCTGGCAAAAAGTGCATGATTATTACACGAGTTGTTGCTGTTGCTCTTAATGTTCTTATTGCTGTTGTTGTTGTTGGTGTTGTTGTAGTGTACTTACGCCAGTCCAATCCTCAACCTCCCAGTGTGGGCACTCCTCGATAATGCAGGTCTCTTGTGTTGGCGGCTTTGGAGTGCGGCACATAATATCAGCAACCTGTTACCAAAAGGTCCAAGCATGAAACCCATCCACAAAATGTGAAGAGCAGACAAAAAATAAAAAAAGAGGAAAAAGAGAAAAAATATATATGTATAAAGAGTGTGAGAATACATGGTAATAACATGTAAGTGTGTGTTGGTGTGTGTGTGTGTGTGTGTGTGACGAGCTGCTACTTTGTATGCAAAATTAGCAGCGTTTAAAAGTGGGCGGCACTTGGGTAATAGCCACTTTCGTTCAACTATTTTGGCCACTAGCATTGCACTTACCCTCGTTTTGATGCCGTTGGTCTCCTCGGCACAGACAACCATCCGTTCACGGTAGCCGTGCCCACAGAGCCGGCTGCAAGTGCTCCAATCGTCGGTTATCCAACTGCGGAAGAGGCGGACAAGTGGTTAGACTATAGACCCAACTATAACATAGAGGCCACTTGCGCGGCCGTTTTGCTGAATTAGTTCAACTAAATTGTTTCAAAAACAAGTTGACCGCCCCTGCGGTTGGAACTCAAAAAAAAAAAAATAAAAATAAAATAAAGTGAAAAACAAAAAAATGGCAAAAATAAATAAAAAGGGCAAAAGGAGTCGTCCACGCCTCGCCCTTTTAAAATGGTGTCGGACACTAAAGAGCATGGCGTTTTATGCAGACAAATTATATAGTTGAGTGAATCACTTTGTGCATGTGTTGGCACCAGAAAGCGAGGGTCAAAATGAGAATTGAGCTGTCAGGGAATAAAGGCAGTCCGTCCATTAAAGGAGTGCACAGCTCAATCGCGAAAAGGACTTTCGACTTTCAGCTTACTGCATAGTCATCAGGTCAGCAAAGAGTAAAGTAAAGAGAGAGAGAGACTGGAAATACAGTTCATATAGATTGGTATATGCAGTTATATCAATTATATCATCAATGGCAGTCGGATCTTATAGATCGAATGAACCCTATAAAAGGTATATATTACTATCTTGGGCATGGCCATCAGCTTCTTCTCTAGTAATCAATTCAGAAAAACAATTATAGACATCACCCTTAGTTTTCTTACAGTAATGGAGGTAGAGGTCACTTAATCGACTCGCATGTGAATTAAACTTCTCTCAAAGATCATAGAATCCACTTTGTATAATAATCAATTAAAAATCCCTAGTTATAAAATCCATTCACTTACCATAGTTACACCCTCACTTTAAGCAGTCTACACTACTCCAACTAACCGTAATTTACAAACTATTCACTCGCTCAGATACAGCCAAAAACTCATGTGTCTAGACTTTATCGTCAATTCCAGCTTAAATATCCTTTCTCCCCCTATTTCGCTTAGACGATACAACTCAATTGCACTACCAAACTAACAACTATCATAAGTCTTTGGCAAACACAATGATACGCCAGCCCAGTGCTTTGCCCCAACCAGCTATTAGCCAAGTCCCCAATGCTGCAGTAAGCGTTGCCAAGAACTGAAAACCTCAAGACAGCCAAAATCACAGGCAATAATTGATGTCCCAAACCGACGGCGGCCCAAAGCCGCGAACAGCAATAAACAGACCGAACGCCAGAAAGCAACAGCAAAGAGCAAACATGGGAAGGCAGACGATAAGTATTGACTGCAAGTTGCCCTAGATATTAACACTTAGTTGGGATTGTTAGAAACTTGGATGAATATGTTCATAGTCTAATACGGAATTTACTAATAGAAGTTGTAGAGAAATATATATATTGCTTGAGCTCTTATAGATAGAGAAATAGATGAATAAATGGAATAAACTATGTTTTCTATTTCCTATATAAATTTAAATTATCATAGATAACATATAACATAAAATATTCGCCCAAAACTGCATATTTATAAAAAAAAAAATATATATATTTTTCATCTTATATTCTGTAAATATATGATTTCTCTCTTAAGGATTCCGAAAACACCTGCCGAATACATCTCAGACTTACAGGGTATTCCGAAAGCGAAAAGCAAAAACAACAATAGGCAACCGCACAGAACGGAGATTAGAATTTGAGGCGCTTTGCGCGAGATACTCGGAAAATTGGCGTAAACTTTCAGTTCGGTTTTTGGAAAATGTCACAGAACGATAAATACAGTGTGGGGGTCGTCGTCTGTGGTGTTATGTACATACATACATATAGATTCATGTATATGTATATATCCTATACAGAGGCTAGGCAGACAGAGAAGGCGCCAAACAAGGACAAGACAAGTCAGAGTCCTCGCTGTGCTGGGCGATAATAGAGCCCGAGTAGGCAATCAAAACGTGCGCACGATAACCAAACGCCATTTAAATTGATAGCTAGTCAGGTGGACGGGGGAACAGACAGAGATTGAGATGGCGATGGAGAGAAACAAAGGTGTGTGAAGGGGAGAGGGGGGGAGAGTTGAGTAGGCAGGTGGCCTGCCTGTCTGTCTGTTTGGGGAGTTTGGGGGCAACTGTCAAAGCTGTACTTACCGCGGCGGACAGCTATGTGTATTACATGGCACCACCGAATTCTCCGGGCGATTAGCAGCATTGCAGAGCATCGTATCGACATCAGCGCCAGTTAGGCGATTTTTGCACACAGGACGAGACATTTTGTAACCTACGGCACAAATGAAACAGAAATAGTTAGAAAGAGATAGATAGATAGATAGAGAGAGAGAGCGGAAAAAATGAAGAAAATAAGTAAAGAAATTCTGAATGGCGTTAGTGTTATGGGTAAAGGCTAAAAATTGGAACTGGCAGACGACGTGCATTTGCTGCATTTTAAAATCAATAATAGCCTGAAATGGCTTTCAGTGGGTCGGTTGCTTGGCTGGGTTGCTTTCTCTCTGCACTGCAACTTTAATGTCACTTAGGCACTTAAGACAGTCACGGCCACGCAACGGGCAGACCAAACAGAAAAGCTTAACCCGAACCATGAAATACTCCGGGGAAGACTTACAAAGATCTTCAGGCAAGACACATGCCTGAGAACGGAAATCTTAGAATTTAGTTTTTATAATGCTTAAATGTTTTAATTACCTTACAAATAACTAAGTGGT